GCAGACTCAACATGGGTTCTGTAAGGGAAGATCTTGTCTCACTAACCTGTTAATGTTCTTTGAGGGGGTGAACAAACATGTGGACAAGGGGGATCCAATAGATATTGTTTACCTTGACTTCCAGAAAGCTTTTGATAAAGTTCCTCATCAAAGGCTCCTAAGCAAGCTCAAAAATCATGGGATAAAAGGACAAGTCCTTTTATGGATCAAAAACTGGCTAATTAATAGAAAACAGAGAGTGAGTATAAATGGGCAGTTCTCCCAGTGGAGGGGTGTAAGCAGTGGGGTACCACAGGGATCAGTACTTGGTCCACTGCTTTTTAACTTGTTCATTAATGATTTGGAGTTGGGAGTAAGCAGTGAAGTGGCTAAATTTGCGGATGATACGAAGTTGTTCAGGGTGGTGAAAACCAGTGAGGATTGTGAGGCACTCCAAAGGGATCTGTCAAAGTTGGGCGAGTGGGCGTCAACATGGCAAATGGGGTTCAATGTGGCCAAGTGCAAGGTGATGCACATTGGAGCCAAAAATCCTAACTATAAATACACGTTGATGGGGTCTGAACTGGCAGAGACAGATCAAGAGAGAGATCTTGGAGTTGTAGTAGATAACTCACTGAAAATGTCGAGACAGTGTGTGACTGCAATAAAGAAGGCCAATGCTATGCTGGGGATTATTAGGAAGGGTATTGTAAACAGATCAGCCAATATCATAATGCCGCTATATAAATCAATGGTGCGACCTCATCTGGAATACTGTGTGCAATTCTGGTCACCACACCTTAAAAAGGATATTATAGCTTTGGAAAAAGTGCAGAAAAGAGCAACTCGAATGATAAAAGGGTTGGAACACTTTCCCTATGAGGAACGGTTAAGGCGCTTAGGGCTCTTTAGCTTGGAGAAACGACGACTGAGGGGTGACATGATTGAGGTTTATAAGATTATGCATGGGAAAGAGCAGGTAGAGAAAGAGGTACTTTTCTCCCTTTCTCACAATACAAGAACCCGTGGGCACTCCATGAAATTGCTGAGCGGTCGGGTTAGAACGGATAAAAGGAAGTACTTCTTCACCCAAAGAGTGATTAACACTTGGAATTCACTGCCACAGGAAGTGGTGGCAGCTACAAGCATGGACGGCTTCAAAAGGGAATTAGATAAGCATATGGAGCAGAGGTCCATCAGTGGCTATTAGCCACAAGGTATAGATAGGGACTCTGGGGCAAGTGATGCTCTGTCATCTTGGTGCTTGGGGGGGGGTCAACAGTGGGAGGGCTTCTAATGTCCTGGCCCCACTGGTGGACCTCCTGATGGCACTGGTATTTCTGGCCACTGTGGGATACAGAGTGTTGGACTGGATGGGCCTTTGGCCTGATCCAACATTGGCATCTCTTATGTTCTTATGTTCTTATGTTCTCTAATCTGGGAGAACCAGGTTTGATTCCCCACT